TTCTCTTTTTTGGTTGCTGAGTAATATTCCATTGTATATATGTACCACATCTTTCTAATCCAGTCATCTACTTTTGGGCATCTGGGCTGCTTCCATGTTTTGGAACAGTGTATTTTTAAGCTGGACAGAAACTACCATGTCATTAAATGCAACTTCTTTTACAGAGGAGCCCAGACACACTGGCTTACCTTCAGTGCCTCTGAAAGTTAGTGGCACAACTGTCTAAGATGATTCAAGACTTGAAAGAGCTTGACATTTAATCTCCAAAGCGAACAGAATAATTGTACACATAAATTACAATACTAGGTGTTATCTGGGAGAGAAAACTTCAAAAGCAGATAGAAGATGGAAGAAATCACAGTTCTCAGTTGGGGTGGAGCGTGGCAAGAAAGGTAATTAGGATTGTATGTAACAGTTGTCAACTTTTTTAGGTCTCAGATCCTTTTCCACTCTTAGAAATTATTGCATTGACTGATTGCATTACTTAAGTAATAATAAAGCTATTTGCATGTTGTCAGATATTTGTGAAAATAACCAGTTTTCTAAAACAAATACAGTGAGTAAAAAGGCACTTGTTTTATGTTTCTGCCAATTTTTAAAATTCCCCACTTAATAGAAATCAGCTGGACTCCCATATGTACTGCCTCATTCACTTTCTTGAGATGTTGTTTTGGTTGAAATCTTAGAAGAAAATTCAGTCTATGCAGATACATAATTGGAAAAGAGTATTTAATAGTCTTTTCAGATAAAGGTGGCTATTTTTTCATGATGTTGGGACTTGACAAGTACTAGTTTCTTAGCTTCAATGTGGAAACAGATTGTATAAATAAATGGCTTTTTAGTATTGTTATTTTAAAATCCATGCTCCTACAATTCACTTTAGTTTTCTAATAATAATCATTGTTTATTTGAATTATAGATGTCTCCTAGATATTGTTACATATTATATTTTATATAAAAAAATCAACTGCTCATATCACCACTGGTCTTTTAAGTATTGGTGAAGTGCTCATGTTATAGTAAGAGATACAAATTTTCCAAAATTCTAATTTTGGTTTAAAGACTGAATTTTACCACTGGCAACAAATGTTCTCACTTATTTTCCTAGAGATGACTATTAATCTTTGAGAAAATATATGCCAAATACTCAATTCTGAACATCCATAATTTGTCAATAATTTTTTTTCAAGCAGAAATAGATTCCATAAAAATAAAAATGATAATAGCATTTCTACTTTTTTCATAAGGAATATTTAGGGAATGAATAAATGCTTTACTGTAAGAAACAATTAAGTACTGTAAGAAACCATTAAATACTTTGAGTAAGTACTTATTCTGAACTAAATTTTTACTAGTCACTTTCATATGCTATGTAATTTTATCCTTACAAACGTTATAAAGGGATATCATCATTCATATAGATAAAGCAAATGAAGTCTGAAAAGCCAAGTAACTTTCTAAGGGGCATGATTTTCAGCTCTGGTTTCTTTAGCAGTTCATACTGCCATCTGCTATTTTTTTTTTTTTTTTGACTTTTTTTTTTTTAAAGATTTTATTTTATTTGTACATACAGAACTGGGGTACAGGCCAGAGGCTCAGGGGCGGTGAGAGGCTTCACCAGAGAC